CATCATGATTAAGCTGTATAATCAGCTTTCCTCTCCCCCAGGATAAATATGTAAATCCTATACGATCCTATCCTAGTTAAGAATATAGATGAATATGTTGTCCAAATTACCATCAAAATGGCTTCCTCTAGACTGCCATACAGACAGCATATGCCATTAGACTGCCATACAGACAGCATGTTAGGAATAAGGATTGGATAATAAATCATTCCAACTAATAACTAATAATCATTCCAAATGGCCTCCTGGGTAGAATGGTTTTGAAATACAAAATAGGTCCGGAAATAAGAATGGAGATGCGATACCAATCTCCATAGCTGGTTTAAATCTTGGAGAAAGTCCACAAAAATGGAAGGTGTGAGAGCTAAAGACTCATTATTTTATGTTTGAAATTGCTTTAGGAATATAAACCCGTATACAGCTCTCGTTTTGGCCACTCATGGTCTTTCTATGAGCATTCTTGAAATTCAGTTGGTAAATTTAAACAGCATAAAAAAAATCTTCAATAAAATTTAATTTAGTTTTCAATTTGACATTTAAATTCAGAAAGATGTGCTATTTTTACCCGCTAACTCAAGAACATGCTATCAATTTTGTGCGAGACTTACTGCTCCTAGTCATACTTATTACTTATTTTAAGGTTTTTGCACTTGTGAATCTGTATGGCATAAAATTTGTCTAAAAAAGTCCAGTCTGACCAATATGGAGGTAACTAATGCTGTTCACATATTTTAAACCAAGTTGTGTGAAAGGGCTGAAACCTATGGGCAGGGGTATATTCACTTCCCCAAACTCATAATAGTACTAAAATAAGGAAAATCAGAATAAAATTATGGCCTAACCTGGTACACATACTACGGGAGTACCAATGAAACAATAAACAATAGAGACATATATTTATGTTAGTGTGCAGCAAGACCATGGAACTACTTGGAATAACCCAGCAATAATATTTAAGCTCAGAGTTCAAATGTGGAAGTACAAATACATCTTGTTGATAAAAACAAATTATATAAAAAAGTAATCCCATACTAAGAATAATATTAAAAAAGTACCACGTCATAAGCTCCCGCAAGAATGCTGATTGCGACAATTATGTTATTTCTGTTCTGTCAATAGCCATTTCACACCTGATAAGATCTAACTTTGTCTGCACGAGACGTTTTTCAGACGTTAAAATGAGATGGTGTCAAAGATAATCACGTCTAAAATTAAGATTGGTGGAACAAAAGACAATTCATATAGGGAGTGAGATCACTTAACCCTGAACAAGGCTCTGAATAAGCAGATATTTAGGTACTCCTGGGGAAGCGGGCAATTACTTTTTTGAGGGGGCCAGTCACAGGTAACAGATTTGGTTACTGGGCCGGCAGCTCAAAACTCGGTACTCCCGTAGTGTGTGTACCAGATTAGGGTTAGGCCATTGATATGTAATGTTGGATTTATAGAACTTTTTTTGTGTATCACTGCCCATAATTGGAATCTATTGGAGACCCACTAGGAAATGCTCGGTCGCCCAGTATTGGGCCGCACCCACAGTTTGCCAACCACTGCTGTAAGGCATGATAGTGTTCCCTTAAGCTGAAATTTTTTTGGTGAAATATAGGTTCTTATACAAAAAAATTTGAAAAATACATAAGTAATAGTAATGGTGGCTCCTTGGCGACTGGAAATTTGGAAACTGTTGGCCCATTAGTTACGATGAAATGAGATTTTATTTTCAACAATAACAAGAGTTTACCAAAACGATACGATATGTCCAATTTGTGGCATACAATAAATCTAATTTGATATAAAAAAAAACATGGCCATGTAGGCTACATACTGTTAAATTTAATTTTTTTTCTTTCCTGTGGCCTAATCAGTCAGGCGAATGTTACAAAGCCATCACAAGTAATAAATAAGACATGCTGACAGTTATGGACCACCGATTTTTTTGATAGAAATATTCTGACAAAAAAGGTGTTAGAACTGTCTCATAATGTGTGAAAAAATATGAAATTTAATACCAGATCACACCCTCAGGCATGTGTATTAGAATCTGTTTTTATTGGTACTCGCGTAGTGTGTGTACCAGGTTAGGGGGAGACCATAATTTTATTCCGATTTTCCTTATTTTAGTTCTATTAAGAGTTCGGGGACTGTCTGTGTTAGCCAAGTGAATTTATTCCCTGCCCATAGGTTTCAGTCCCTTACACAACTTGATATAAAGTAGGCAAACAAAATTAGTTACCTTCATATTGGTACACATACTTTTGGAGCGTGTTTTTTTTATAGGCCTACATGATGACCCAATCAAAACAAGGGTATGAGCCTGCTACATCAGTGAAAGCTTGTTTTGAGCCATTTTCTGAGCAAAAAAGTAAAATTGTCATGAACGGAGAGAGCATTGAAGATGGAAAATTTGCAATCACAGGTTAGGATTCAAACCTCATGTACGCCATCTCAACTAGGAGATGATAAATTTAGTAGGTCTAAGGTCTTTGGTGGCCCACTCCCAAATACTTTTGGTGCTCCAGAAGTATGCGCACCAAGATGTCATACAACCTGAATCCTAACCGGTACACACATACCATATTCAGGTTGTGCGCCATCTTGGTGCGCATACATCTGGAGGTCCTTATTAACACATACCAATCTGTAAAAAAAAATTGAAAACAACTTTGCCCTCAGAACATAAAACATCTCATAAAATAGATGAAAGAGTTTTCAAACGCAAATACACATTATCGAGGTTACCTAAGTCGCATATCATCCTAATGAAAATAATCTTTGAGCAGAAGATAGGTGTCAAAATTTGCCGCAAGAAGTGAGAAATAACGTTTAATGACTTTTTTATCAGAGATTAAATCTTCTCAAATATCGTCAGAACCTAACTTTGCATACTATTACCATTTTAATTTTTTTTCAGGCATTTTCGGACTTTTCATATACAAATTTGGGTGCTCCCGAAGTATGCGAACCAAGATGGCGGACATCGGAACGTAACATGGGTAACAGGTTAGGGTTAAGCGATAATTTCTTTCCAATTTTCCTTATTTTAGTCCTATTATCAGTTCGAAGACTAGCCAAGAGCCTCCCGTAGTATTTATACCTAAAATTATGGCCTAACCCTAACCTAGTACACATATTACATTCCGATGTCCGCCATCTTGGTTCGCATACTTTGGGAGCCCCCAAATTTGCTCAAAGTATAACCCCAACTTTTCAACAAAATATGGAAATGAGTATAGATCGGTGGTTTTCAAACTTTTTGGGCCACGTTCCATTTTTAGAATTTGTCAAGTTTCGCGCCCCAAATATAACTAGCTAACAATAAGCTACATATAACAGATAGTAAAGCGAAAGCATGTCTTTATTCAAAAAAAAAAAGGTGAAATTACATGGATGGAACGTAAATATTCAAAATAAAGAAATGAAAATATCCAAAATAAAGCGGACAAGAGTCATTAACTCGTCTCGAGTTGGGAAGACTCGAGATTGACTGGTCTCGAGTTCGAGAGACACGTCTAGAATTTGAGTTTTGGGAGACACGTCTAGAGTTTGGGAGTTACCATTCATAAAAAAATCTGGAATGCCTCAAAGATATAAACGGCCCCTTCATAAAATGTGTCAATCGTTTGATAAATTCAATTTGAATCCAAAAAAAATTTATAATCAAAAAGTTATGTTTTGATATTATAACACTTCAAAAAAGCTATATTTACCAAAGTAGGAAAACACTTTATTAAATATGGATTAAAAGTAATTCCAGGTATGAAAAACAATATCATAATTTGATGAGCGCAGTCCATGAATAGCCTAAGGGATAAGCCAACCTTTTGTTGGACAATACGAGTAAGGATGTCCCTAAGTGGTTTGCGAGCTTGATTATACAGGACGTCCACAATTCTAATTTTGTTATGAAGTCAGTTCTCAATATATTTTAACCAGGTTTGTTGTTTTTTAATCATTGATTATTCAAGTAATTTTAATCCAATTAATCTCTGAGGGCCAAAACAATATATGGTATCGATGAATTCCCTTTGCAATTTTAAAATTTTTTAAGACTTTGTGGACACTCTGTGAAAAATGTATAACAGACTATATATTCTTTGAATGGGTTGGAAAAAATTTGCTATGAACAAAGCTTCAGACAAGCAGGAACATATATATATGAAAAAGCCTTTCTATGCTCCTAGCAAAGCTCTATTAAGCATATCATTCCAAATTAGGAAGTTAGGTTTTGAGGACACTAGGAGTTTTACCTGTTAAACATTTCAAACAAAAATCTCGACAATCCCATGCATTCTTTTACTTAATATTCACAAAATTTCATATAAGCAAGACAATTTGTTAAACTATGTTTAGAGAGTATTTAAAAAAACTTGTTAATATATTTTAGTAAAAAATTTAGCAAATCACTTATAACTAGGAAACTATAAGGTTATATAAGTAAAACTTTTTAGAAAAAATTGAAAAAAAAATTTTCAAACTTGATATGGCAGTACTGTTTGCAGGGGTTCCCAAACTTTTTTCAGGACGACCCCAAAGACAACTTTCAAGTGTCCAGTGCGACCCCAGGTCAATATATAGATATTTCATGAAACTTTAAGAGCTTCTTTCACTGGACTTTTGAGTTTGGTCATGTAGTGGTATTAACTAAAATAAGCTAAAACTAAACAGTGATGTCACAATAAGCACCTACATCTTCTACAGCATAAGCATAGAGCGATGTTTATGGGCCCGTTTTACAGTAAACCATGGTACAAACTGCGAAATTTAACATGGTTTGTCAAATCTTAGATGATTTGTACATTCATCCTCTGCCATACCTCAGTGACCCCACCCACATCATGACCTGTTTGTGAGCCTACCTACTTACCGCTCCGACCCAATTTGGGGTCGCCACCCCTGGTTTAGAGAATACAAGGCACGCATGAAGTATGCGACACTGTTGCCTGCAGAGGTACCTCATGCTATGGTAGCAAAGAATATGAATAGTTAGAAATACTACTCACAGAACTCTCAATGACAGAAGTTCGAACAGCCATCCTCTTGATACCGCTTCAATGTAGTTGTAATCAAGGATTCTGGAACAAAGAATAATTCAAAATCAAAAAAGGAGTGATGGTTAACGAAACCATAAATTGAAAGTAAGTCTTGAATCTAAGTAACTATGCGGAACCAGAGGAGTTATCTTATAGGGATGTCGGAATATGACACTTGATGTATTTGAAATGGCATCATCTCTCACCGAACTAATCTAGAATACAGAAACACCATAAAATATTTTTACATGCGGGATTTCTCAACTACACGATGGTATGAACTTAATAAAGACTAAACGAGAATATCGGTCAGAGACCGAAGACTTATCGGTCGAAAGTTAGGGGATCCCCCAAAACAGCGCTCGTACTCCATAGTGACACCTTGTGTCCCATCACTAATTAATTAATAACTCGCTAATTATGCGACATAATTCGCCCAAAATCAATAGGCTCTTGGTCCGAGATATAATGAATGCACATGCAAAATCTGGAGCAGATTCAATCTCGCTTTCGTGAGATATTGCGTGCATCTAACAGACATACATACACACAGACAGACAGACAAATACCTATCAACATACTTACCGGTAAAAATCGATAAGTAATGATAAAAACTACTGAAACTATACAGGAAAGTGTTGATGCAATCACTCATAAATAAAGGACACCAATCTCTAAACATTGCTTAACATCTGAAATACTGAAAGCTACAAAAAAATATTTAGAATCATGGTCATGATTCGTGAATTATGTACCAGCGAATGCCATTTTACAAGTTTTAAACTTAGATATTATTCTCCATCGAATTTTTCTCAGAATCTCAGTAGCTGTCCACAATTTTCCAATTAAGGAATAATATTGTTCAAAAACATCAAAAAAACTTACAGTGAATTGAGAGCTATTGGGCCATAGAAAGCTCCATCGTTTAGTTTGTTTATTTTATTTCTATCAAGTTGAAGAGTCTCCAGAGCACACATGCCAGAAAATGTCAAACCACCAATGTGAGTCAGTTGGTTTTGGCTGAGATTCCTGAAATAAAATGTTTTGAAATGTTTACAACGAATTTAATGTAGGATTTCTGTGAGTGTAATGTTCTATATTCAGTGCTTCCCACTCTTTTTGTGGCATGGCGCCTTTTTAGAATTTGTCAAGTCTCGCGCCTCACCTCAAAAATACCTAGCTAATACAATAAGCTACAAATAACAGATAGTAAGGCGAAAGTATGTTTTATTCAAAAAACACGTTGAAAACACGCAGATGAAATCACAATTTCTATACAATGAAGAAATGTAAATATCCAAAATAAGGTGGGCAGGATCAAATCTAAAATCTAACAAATATTTTTATTTTTAATTAGCTTCACACCTTCTCAAAAAAAGGGTCAATGCTACACCGTTTGAGGTCCTAGAGGTTAGTGTTCTAGCCGAGTACGTTGTCATCACAGATCAAAAATGTTGATTTCAACGCCCGATCCCAGAATATAAAAAAATGGGTAGGTGGGTGGGTAAGCATTGTAAAACAGAAAGATTCTAGTTATGTCAAATATAGTCCATCTGTATCATTGGCAACATCAAGTTTACTAATCATTTATATAAGAGCTTATTAAAGAAGGTATACATTCGCCAATGTTTTCACATTCAAAATATAATATTCTTCCAATTCAGAGCTGGAATCAGAAGTCAAAATATTTCCTAATCAGATGTCAAAAGTAGGAGCACTAAAATAAATTTTGAAGTAGAGCATGTTCAAGAGCATGTTTAAAAAGTAAACGCCACGTCAATATACTTACAAGTGTTTTAAAGTTTGTAAATTCCCGAAACATCTGTCCTGTTTGTTGACCGGTTCTGGTTTGGATGTTCGCACAAAATTTCGAATTTTATTTCGTGAAAGATCAATGACTTCTATAGAACTCAGACCAACGAATGAAGTCCATGCTAGCGACGTGACTCTGTTCTTTTGAAGGTATCTGAAAAATTGTTTATTAGAGTAAGAACCAGAGCTCTATGGGGGTTAAAAGTGGGTGCAATGGAGTGGTAGTGGGTGCATTAGTGAGGGGTATCTTAGACTCAGTCCCATAAAGGGCCATTTCTTAGAAAATTGTTTATTAGCGTGTGAACCAGTGAGCTTATGGGGGTTAAAAGTGCGTGCAAAGGCCTAATGTGAGGTTCCTTAAACTGGACACTAGGCCACAGAAAAGGGCTACTTAATGGTTTACCAGGGGAAGTGATAAAATGCTTTCAATCTGTACCATTCACAATGACTGCATTATTTCGAAATAAATTGATCGTAATTGGTTTGAATTATTTGACTGTAAAGATACTATTATTATTTGGCTTTTGTTTATAGCCTTTCCTCTCTCCCAAGATTAAATCAAAAATCTTATCCTGCTTACAAATGAGTGAGTTGTGAATTCAGCGCAAATGTTTCAGGTTTAATTTGCTTTATCCTATTGAAACTCAGATCCAATTCAGTCAAAGCAGGAAATTTCTTCAAACCATCAAGCTCTGATATTGAGTTATGAGATCTGAAATAAAGAAATATTAATTTAGATTGGAATGCATGTTACAGTGTTTCCCCGAAAATAAGACACAGTGTTATTTCAATTTTCTTTTGAAAAATAGGGCTTATTTTAGCGGGATGTCTTATTTTCATTTATCGAAAACAAAATAATAAGTAGAGAATCATGAGATTTTCAAATACACAAAATATGAAAACCAATATTCATTAACTTAGAGTAGATTGATCATGTAAAACGTGTAGGAAAGACTTCTATCGACTATGTCAAAAAAGTTTCGCACTATCGACTAAGTCTTATTTTCAGGGAAATACGAAACTTGCTATTCATAATTGTCTCTGAACAAGGCTCTTCCAAAGGGCCAACTAGGATGTAAAATAGGAAGGAGAGTGTAGAATTTAGTATATTCAAAGATGTCAAAAATCATGAAATATGCATTCTAAAATATGAATGATATAATGATATAAATATAAAATACAGATAGGCAAGAAAAGCCAAGTCTCCTCCCACCCAAGACAAGAGCCAAACAAAACTAAAAAAACAATACATGACCTCATAGTAAGAGCAAATAATCATTTCTTCTAAGAGTTATAATTCATCTTAGTAAGAAAAGACAAGAGCTATCCATGATATCAATTTAAATAAAGGTAGTTTGGGAAAGCCCCCCCCCACCCTGCTGACAAAAAAAGAACCTAAAAACCATTACATAAGGGGGGGGTCCTCATCTAGCTTTTGTCTTTTTTTACCAAGATGATTTATTACTTTCAGAAAAACAAAAAAAAATCAATAATTTTATTAAAAAAAAGACAAAAGTCCCTACATAACTCCATAAGAAGGTCAAATAATTGATTTCATTTAAAAGTAAATCATCTTAGTACGAAAAGACAGGGCCGTCCATGACATAGTTAAAAAACAGATAGTCCAGGAACCCCCCCCCCCCCCCTTGACGACAAAAAAAATAGAACCTAACAATCATTACATAATCTCACAGTGAGGTCAATTCATTGTTTCCTCGTGAAAGTAATAAATCATCTTAGTAGGAAAAGACAGGGCCCAGGGCAATGCAATAATATCTCGTACGATTAAACAGATATCTCATTTCTAAGTGATAATACTTCATAAAATCAACCGCATCAAACTTTTAAATCTTGAGGTCGAAAGCCATTACTCTTAGTGTCAAAAGAATCAGTTCATGGCAGTTCAAATGAAGATAAATAAAGACATTTAATACAATCGAGGAATTATCATTTTCTATCTACGGTAATAAAAAAGTCCAAGATTCCAAAAATTACGGTATTTACAATCAAATCTAAGGTACTCCCGTAGATGTGTAGCAAGTTAGAGTTAGGCCATAATTTTATTCCAATTTTCCTTATTTTAGTTCTATTTCGTGTTCAAGGACTGTCTGTGTTAGCCAAGTGAATATACCCGCCTGCCCATAGGTTTCGGTACCTTTACACAACTGGATGTGAAAGTAGGCAAACAAAATTAGTTACCACCATATTGGTACCTACACTTCTGGAGGGCCCTGTAATCAATTATGGTGATATATCATATCATCATAATACTGATAAGATGATATCACTGATAACAAGAGATAACAGATTTCTTTATAAAATGCCATGCTGCTCGTAAATCACATACACAATCACCCTATTCTTCTTTTTTTTCTGAAGATTTAAAAGATCTCGAAATTAGGAATAATTTTACAATACATTTTATTCCTAAACATCGTTAAAAATAAATCAATTTAGAGAATTGAAATTTTTTGGTTATTTTCTGAAAAAATATGAATACCTTGCAATATCAGAAACAATTCAAAATATTTTGGAAATTTGAATATTTTCTTCTTTGATTTTTTTCAAAATTTTTATTGTGTGATATTTTTTGAAGTTTATGAATTTATTATAATTTATTAATATAATGTGTGATATTTTTTGAAGTTTATTAGTTTTTCATAATTTATTAATATAATTTTGTAATATGATTATTTTCAGACTTATTTGAAGGTTGCCTAAATTTTCATAAGACACCACAAAAAACTTTTAGAAAAATTCAAAATTTCAGTTTTTTAAAAACGTTATTATTTGCTGCTATGACGCAAAGATGTTAACATTCAAAATTAGATAAATTTGACATAATTTTTATTTATTCGTACACGACATAATATTTTTACAAAATATAATATTGAACATGTAATGCACACCTGCGCATATTAATAGACATGACAAATGAGGTTGTCACTTAGTATTGTATACACAAATACATCATGCGGAATATCTGATTTAGAATTCGAAATGAGTGATGAGCAAATGCATTTGTGTCTCTATTAAACACCTGTGCCCAAATGTGATATTGTCATTTTAGTTGTTATCAGAATTCCTCTTATTATTCATTACCGTGTTTGTTTAGAACAGTGGTACACATTTTTAGATTATGTCAAGTTTCGTGCCCCACCTCGAAGATAACTTGCTAACAATAAGCCACAGATGGCAAAGCGGACGTATGTTTAATGCAAAAAACATGTTTGAAAGGTCCAAAAAAAAGTGAATGAAACACAGGTTTAAAAGGTCCAAAGTATGTACAAATGGTACGCCTTTCATACAGCTTTTTAGCGAAAAGTACAACCTTTAACCACTGAATATTTCAAAGTAATTGGTCCATTAATGAATGAGAAAAGCGATTTTTTCTTAAGATAATAGGAAAAAGAATAATAACAACAACATAATATAACAAAACGATCCGTATGTCCACTTAGTGTCCAATAATTCCATATAGTTTTTGATCACCCATTAGTTTGTCAAGAAAGGAGTCTTTTGTTTCTGAGTAAGCAAGAATAGCCTCGATTTAGTAAATTCTCTCAAAAAAAAATGCAAAAATTTCACTTATTAATTGTAAAAAAAGTGTAAATTTCTAAAAATGAAACTCGTTACAAATTTAATTTCAATTTATTTTTTCGTATACTCAAAACAGATTCTAAAACTAATTAAATACTGACAAAAATATAATCCAGATTATCAAATACGTATGTACATCGAAAACATTTCACGAACTAAATTCAAAAAGTTCAAAATTTGAAATGATAATATATAAAGTCGATTCTTGGTATCATGAATGCAAATTGTATTTTAATTTGACAGCATGGGTTACTTGATTTATGGGAAATGCAGTTAGAACACCTGGTTGGCATCGGAATATTTTTTTTAATATATTCGGCAATTTTTCATGGTTTTATATAACGTTTCAAATATTATTTTGAATTTTTGTTGACGATAAAACTATACAAAAAATTTGATAAAATTTGATTACAAAAAGATAATTTTGTAATTTTTTATAAAAACAGAATTTTTTTATGGTTTTATATAATGTTCAAAAAGGTATTTTTAATTTTAGTTTGGAAAAAGTTTGCAAAGTTTTCAAAAAAAATTTGAGCAATTTTTTAATAAAATCTGAGTTAACGGACAGGTGCGCGGCATTACATAAAAACAATTTATTTAGTTAAGTTTCTATTTTATATCTATGGCACTTTTCCATGATTTTATCAGGTGTTTCAAACTGTATTTTTTAGTTTGTTGTTTTTGCAAAAAAAATTGAAAAGAGAGATTTTATATTTCTTTCTATAAAGTCACATAAGATGACTTTGTGTGTCTTAAAATCAATGACCTTCAAGTAAACGATTTTGCAATGAAAATCATATTTTCTTATTATAAATTTGCTGAAAGACTATAAATTTTAATAACAATCGTTTTAACAATATTGTTAGGAACTTTGACAAAAACTGAATAAAAATATTAACAAAAACAGTTTTAACAATTATTTCATCAAAAAAAGAGATTAGTTTTTCGTCGAAAAAACTGAAAATGAGAAAACTAGTTCCAGGATTAATTAAATGTAAATAAGAACGTTTCAACTTGGATTAGTTTAAAATGAGTTAATTTCAAAATGTTTTTGAAGTCTCTAAAACATTACACTACCGCCACGATTTTCGACCAAAAAAACCGAGATCCCAAAAACTTATTAAACAAGAATGTTAAATACGCACTTAGGAAAAGAAGAAATCTTTTTCGAAAATATTCAAAATTAGAAAATGAGTTCCAGACTCAAATTATGCAATTAGTAATTATCTAATTGACGAAGCAAATTGATTACAAAGTAATTGGAAGGAAATTGTCGAAAACAAAAATGCCCAAAAGGCAGAAATACAAGTTTTTATCGTTTTTTTTACAAATTGACTTTTCTTTAAAATAATAAAATAAGTCATGTGATTTGAGTTTGTATTCTCTAACATTGTGAAAAAAATCAAGTAGGCAGCGTTGGCGCAAACAGTGGGAACCATCATGCCTAATCACTATAAATTGTGAGAGAGATGGCCTATTAACTAAACCGGGGTTGGCAAGATTTTCGGACCGAAGAACAAAAATTTTGCCAACCTAGACTGGCAGGCCATGTAAGTGTGGTGTCAAAGGTTACATTTTTTAAACAATATTTACAGTGTTACAATGTTTCAAAAGAAAGGGGAAAAGAATAAGCCTCGTGTCAAAACAAATTTATCACAATCTCAACAAATATTTTGAGCTATTTTTTCAAGTTAAACATCAAAATTTGGTTTTAGTTTGGTTGAAGCAACATCAGCCGGGCCAGATTGGGCCCGCGGCCCGTAGTTGCCTATGTCAGTTCGACAACTTTGTGGAAAAAAATTGAGTAGGTAACAAACAGTGGAGCCACCTTGCATAATCATTAAAAATTGTGGATGGTCTCGCAACACATCTATAAGTAATTTATCCACTTCATAACAAAGGCTTGCATTAGTGAACCAGTCCGGTCCAAAATTCGAAAATGTTGAATAAAATGTTAACCTTAACAGACCAAAACTTAAAAATGCTGGCTAAATGTCTGAATTTTTTATACCTGAACAATTTCGAGCTCGGGCAAAAAGTAGTGCTGGCAGTTACTAGTAAGTCCAGAAAAAAACAGTTAAATTTACCATATTTACGGCAGCGCATCACCAA